TGCTGCTGCTGCCGCTGCTGCAGTTGCTGCTGCTGCTGCTGCTGCTGCTGCTGCTGCTGCTGTGAATATAACATACTGTATAATAGATACGATTTGTAGATTTCTTGCAGGAAGAAGATCATTAGGTGTATTCAATAAGAAACGGTAATTCAAGGATGCATGCATAATAATAAATAAAAAAAATGCATGCACCCTGCTGCCTCTGCATAGCAGCAGCAAAGAACCTATCATAAAATTTATTCCTATAAAAAAAAAAGGAGGCAGAAAAGGAGACATATGTATATATAAGGCAAGTGTTGCAGCAGCAGCAGCAGCAGCAGCAACAGCAGCAAACGCAGCGGCTGCAGCATCAGCAGCAACCATAATTACCATCAGCAAAAACAAGCAGCGGCAGCAGCAGCAGCAGAAACAGAAACAGCAGCAGCAGCAGCAGCAGCAGCAGCATACCTTGGCAGTATCCCGTGCTGGGGTCAATAGCAGCAACTGCATGCAGCACATCGTATAACTTTTGCTGCCCTCTAGGGGAAGCAAAGCTGCATATACACCGCAGCAAGACATTAACGCATGCAGCAGCAGATATACGTAGCAGCAACAGCAGCAGAAGAAGCATCAGCAGCAGCAACAACAACAAGACCAACTGCAGCAGCAGCAACAACTGCCAACAATCTAACCACCATCACCACCACCATCACAAGCAACACCACCAGCAGCAGCAGCAGCAGCAGCAGCAGCAGCAGCAGCAGCAGCAGCAGCAAGACGTACAAGGGTCTAGTAGGGAATGTCCTACATACATCCCTTTTTATTTCATCAATAAGAGGAGAAGGAAGAGAAGAATTAATAAAATAATTAAATATATATATACATATTATAGGTAATATATTTACTTTCTTGCTGCAGCATGCACATCTATTCCTCCTGCTGCTCCTTGTGCTGCTGCTGCTGCTGTTACTTATCGTGCTTATCGTGCTGCTCGTGCTGCTTATTTTGATGCGCTGCTCTCTTGCTGCAGCAGCAGCAGCAGCAACTGCAGCAACAGACGCTAAAGGATTTGCTGTTAATGTATCTGTCTTAGCAGCAGCAGCAGCAGCAGCAGCAGGTGCTGCTGCTGCTGCTGTTCCTGCTGTCGTTGTTGTTGAACCAACATTATCAGCATTATTATGTTTGTCAATATCACCAGCAGCAGCAGCAGCAGCAGCAGCAGCAGCAGCAGCAGCAGCAGCAGCAGCAGCAGGAGGGTATTGTAAGTTGAATATTTTTCTCCATTTAAATTTTTTATTAAAGGAAGGAATATAAGGTAATTCTTCTTTATTTATACCCATATACATTTGCTGCTGCTGCTGCTGCTGCTGCTGCTGCTGTTGCTGTTGCTGTTGCTGCTGCTGCTGCTGCTGCTGCTGCTGATTAAGAAGGAGGAGATCCTTAGCTATTTTATAGGCAAGAAGATGTACTCTTCCTCTGCATAATAAATAATATTTTAATCTAATTAAACATTTCTTCTTACATACACATACAGAGCTGTACGTACACCCCAAATTCGTCTCCTGCTGCTGCTGCTGCTGCTGCTGCTGTTGCTGCTGTTGCTGCTGTTGCTGCTGCTGCTGTTGCTGATGTTGATGGTGATGCTCCTGCTGATGATGATGCTGCTCGTGTTGATCCTCATGCTGCTGCTGCGGCTGCTGCTGATGCTCATCGTCCTGCTGCTGCGGCTGTTGCTGCTGCTGCTCCTGCTGCAGGCAGGAAGGGCTAGTTACGTTGCTCCCTGTCTTGTTGTCTTTGCTGTTGCTGTTGCTGCTGCTGCTGCAAATGCTGCTGCAGTCATCACTGCTGCGTATACTGTTGCTGCGCCTGCTTCTGCTGCTGTTGTTGCTGCTGCTGCAGTCATCTCCGCTGCTGTCGCTCTCTTCCTCATCTCCGCTGCTGTATCCGCTGCTGTATCCGCTGCTGTTGCTGCTGTTGCAAGGGCTGCTGCTGCTGCTGCTGTTGCTGCTGCTGTTATAGCTTTTGTTACTCGCTGCCTCCTTGCTGTTGCTGTTGTTGTTGCACTGTTCCTTATCTGCTGCTCTGTTGCGCATGCAGCAGCAGCAGCAGCACTCATCTACTAAGTCCTGTAGGGCCCCCCTACGTACTGCCTTGTCTATCCATTTGCGGTGTATAGACAGCTGCAGCAAGACACGGCAGCAGCAGCTAAGAGACACCAAGGAAGAAAGAGGCAGCAAACTGCAGCAAATAGATGTTAATAAACGAGGAGACAGTACACGCAGCAGCAAACTCTCTGATGTTGCACATATAGGCTCATCGTTGCTGCTGCTGCTGCTGCTGCTGCTGCTGCTGCTGCTGCCGTTGCTGTTGCTGCGTCTCCTGCCTGCCGCAGCAGCAGCAGTTTGTTCTTTGGCTTCGGGGAAGGAAGGAGACTGCAGCAACAGAGAGTCCCTTTTCCCCTCTCTATCTGCTGCTGTTGCTGCTGCTGTTGCTGCTGTTGCTGCTGTTGTTGCTGCTGCTGTAGCAGCTGTAGGTGATGCTAACGTTGGCTGTTTTGCTGCTGCTGCTGCTGGTTCCGGTGCTGCTGCTGCGGGTGATGGTGGTTCTGATGCTGCTGCTGCTGCTGGTTCGGGTCCTGCTGCTGCTGCTGCTGCTGTTGGAGACAGGAGGGAAAGGGACGAGGAAGAAGAGGGAGACAGAGGAGACAAAGTTGAGGTGTATAGGGAGCTGTCAACCCAAGATGCTTCCGCTGTTGCTGCTGCTTGTGCTGCTGCTGCTGCTGCTGCTGCAGGAGTTGAAGAGCTCGCGTGCTGCTTGCTGCAGATTTGCTGCTGCTCTAAGGAGACAGCAGCAGCAGCAGCAGCAGGTGTCTCCTCTTGCTCTATATAGGGGAGACCTATGAAAGAGAGACGCTTCCCCTTATTAGGCCAAGATAATATCTGCTGCTGCTGCTGCTGCAGCTCCTGCTGCAGCTGTCTCTGCAGTTCCTGCTGCTGCTGCTGCTGCTGCTGCTGCAGGGGAAACGATGGTGTCTCCCTAGGAGTACTTGGTTGCTGCTGAGGAGACAGCTGGGGCAGACGCACCTTCTGCTGCTGCTGCTGCATGCATCTCAGCAACCCTTGAGCGGCAAAACCACCCCGTGCTGCGGCTGCTGCTGCTGCTGCTGCTGCAGTTGCTGCTGCTGCTGCTGCTGCTGGGGATTTAGGGCCTGCTGTGGGGACAGGAGAAGGCTCATACAAATCAATCTTCTTTTGTCCCTTCATCTGCAGCAAACTCCTGTCTCCTCCGTCAGACATTATGCTGCAGCTAGCAGCAGCAGCAGCAGCAGCAGCAGCAGCAAAAGCAGCAGAAGCTGCTGCTGGTGCTCCGCTTGCTTTGCTGCAGTTGGTAGTGCTGCAACTGTTTTACCCTCCGCTGCTGCTGCTGCTGCTCCTGCTGCCGTTGTCGTTACTACAGTTCTGCTGCGTTTCCTGCTGGTGCTGCTGGTGCTGCTGCTGTTGCTGCTGCATGCGGCAGTTTTGGCTGCAGATAGCACAAGGGGTCGAGCGTAGTGCCTGATGGTTTGCTGCAGCAGCAGCAGCTGCTGCTGCAGTTGCTGCAGCAGCAGCAGCAGCAGCAGCGATGGACCAGTGGTCACGAGCGACTGGAGTTGCGGGGCCCGTTAAGGAAGCAGCTGTTGCTGTTGCTGTTGCTGCTGCTGCAGTTGCTGCTGTTGGTGTTGGTGCTGGTATTGTTGCTGCTGTTGTTGCTGTTGCAGCAGCACCACAAGCAGCAGCAGGTAAGAAGAAGGGAAGAGGAGAGGAAGCAGCAGCCTGCGGATAAGAGACAGCTGCTGCTGCTTCTTATCCTTATAGGCAAAAGGAGACACTTATCTATATATAAAAGGAGACACTTTATATAATGATAAAAAAGGAGACAAAGGGGACAGCTGCTGCAGCACAGCAGCACCGGATTCGGAGTCCCCTACTACGGCTGAACAGCAGCCGACTGCTGCTGCTGCTGCTGCTGCTGCAGTTGCTGCAGTTGCTGCTGCTGTTGCTGCTGCTGCTGTTGCTGCTGCCTTTTTTTTTATTATATAAAGAGACAGTATAATAAAATAGGGACAAAACTCCCCACACATCTCCTGCAGCAGCAGCAGCAGCAAACATGTACAAGACCTAACAACGATCCGCTGCTGCTGCTGCAGCAGCACATGCGGCTGCTGCTGCTGCTGCTGCTGCTGCTGCAGTCAGCCCTATACAGCAAATATAAACAGCCCCAAAAGATGCATGCAAACTCAACAGCAGCAGATAAATCTCTAAGAGGCTAGACAACTACAGGCATAGCAGCAGCAACTGCTGCTGCTGCTGCTGCTGTTGCTACGGCTGCTGCTGTTTTTGCTGCTGCTGCTTTGTTTGCTGCTGCTGTAGTTGTTGCTGCTGCTGTTGTTGCTGTTGTTACGGAGTGTTGCGAGGTGTATAGACAACTCGTGCCGTCATCTTTGCGTCTGTAGGTATGATTGCTGCTGCTGCTGTTGCTGCTGCTGCTGTTGCTGCTGCTGCTGTTGCTGGTGCTAGGGGACAGCAGCAGCATGTATCGGCTGCGGAGGCACATGCAGCAGTTACAGGAAGGGAGACAACCAAAGGATTCACTTGCTGCTGCTGCTGTTGCTGCTGCTGCTGCGTGGGCATTGCACTGCAGCAGGAGACAGCAGACCCACACGGTCTCCTCATCTACCACCTTATGCCCACAGCTAGCTACAGCTAGCTACAGCTAGCTACAGGCAGCTGCAGCGAACTACAGGCAGCTACAGCTAGCTACGGGCAGCTGCAGCTAGCTACAGGCAGCTGCACCTAGCTACGGGTAGCTACAGCTAGCTACAGGTAGCTACAGCTAGCTACAGGTAGCTACAGCTAGCTACGGGTAGCTACAGCTAGCTACAGGTAGCTACAGCTAGCTACAAGTAGCTACAGGTAGCTACAGCTAGCTACAGGTGGCAACAACAGGCTATTAAGTATCTGTTGTTAGGTATGGTGAGTCGTAGCTAGCTTCCTTTGCTGCAGTTGCTGCTGCAGCTGCTGCTGCAGTTGCTGCTGCTGCTGTTGCTGCTGCAGTTGCTGCTGCAGCTGCTGCTGCAGTTGCTGCTGCTGCTGTTGCTGCTGCAGCTGCTGCTGCAGTTGCTGCTGCTGCTGTTGCTGCTGCTGCTGTTGCTGCTGCAGTTGCTGCTGCAGTTGGTAGTATGTGTGTATGTGTTAATGAGTATAATAAAACGAGGTGTCTCTTTTGTTGTTAATAAGAAGGAGACAGGAGAAGTGTCTCCTTTTTTGTCTCCTTAATAGAGGAAAAAAAGGGGACATTGTCTCCTTTTTTATTTATTTAATTTATTTATTTATTTATTTATTTATTTATTTATTTATTTATTTAAATCCCCTAAAAAAGGAGACACTTATTAAGCCAACTAAAGGGGACAGAAAGGAGACACCTATTCTCCTTATTTATCTATCTGTCTCCCTCCCGTCTTATTAAGAAAGACGATGCATGCGCAGCAAATACTGCATGCACCTGGCTTATTGCTGATGCTACTGCTGCTGCTGCTGCTGCAGCAACAGCAGCAGCAACAAGATCTACTGCTGCAGCAGCAGCAGCAGCATTGGCATTAGCAGGTACGTCCCTATTCGACAAGAAGAAGAAAAGTGTCTCCTTGCTAAGGGGACAGGGGACACTGCACAACTATAAATATTATATATATAAATATATATATAAATAAATAAATAAATAGATAATAAATGTATATATATATATATA